CCAAAGAGGGTCCTGCAGTAGGATCCGACAAGATCACATGCCTTCTTCTATAATCGGACGACGAGCGATGATCTTCTCTTAAGGGCACCATCCCCTCGGAAGGACTGGGAAATGGCTGACCAAACCCCAATCGGGAATCGTGTACCGGATCAAATGGTCCAAGAAGCCGCGCCCATGCGGGCCGAGCTCACAACGATGAATCAATATATGTCTACACCAAACAATAAAAGGATATCTTTTCAACATCTTATTCTCTGAACGAGGGTATCTTAAGTATATCCCCGACAGGGGCCTCTCAACCAAACGCATCCCTAGATAATCGGAGACTTAGCGTCAGTAATTCAGCACCCGCACGACCTCAGGGTCGGAACTCCAGGCTTATAAATCCCCTACAAGGCAACTCCGAGCTCAGGAAAAGCGTTTTTCATGCTTAAACAAATTCAATGACTCGGAGACTATCATTCGCCGCCAATCGCCATGCGTTGGGAAAGCCGAAACTGTAAGACCCCTAGCGGGCAGCCTCGGCATAACCAGATCTATTCTACAATATACAAACTGTAAGACCTCAACAGGCATGATAAACTGTAAGACCTCAACAGGCATGACAAACTGTAAGACCTCAACAGGCATGACAAACTGTAAGACCTCAACAAGCATGAAAATCCCGAAGTTCAGGCTATACGTCGCATTTGTAAGAATCCCGAGATGGCATACCCTCGATGTAGACGCCTGAACTGTCACTCAGGATCAAAAGTGGCTACCGCCAATTAACAAATATATTATCTATTAAAATATTCTTATGGGAGAATCTTCTTAGTAAAACATAATAGTTATTTTATTAGTCGCCTGAAAATAATTTTTCGTTGATGTATATACTTTTAAACTTAACCGAATTTAGTAATTAAACATAAAAATCAATATGATACCTAAATATAATAATCACTTCACATTCGAAAAAGATATAAGAATTTAATAGATCTTAACATATGATATGAATATGGAAGAACAAAGTGATTAACGCATTTCAGTAGCACTTGATGAAAAAGTACCCATTATTTAAGGTTAATAAATATGGAACACTTCATACACTATTAAATATTATATCCCACAAGAGAATCCCAAATATTTCTAGACACTTTTTAAAGAAAATTATATATAAAATCATAAAAGCATATAAAAAATTAGATATTTATATGTCGGTTTGGTTCGGGTTTTTTTACTCAATACCAAACCAAATCAAACCAAAACTAATCGAATTTTTTAATCGATTTGGTTTGACTTTTCAGTTTGGTGTGATTTTCCGGTTCGGTTTGTACAGCCCTAGCGGCTATCACCAACCATTGCCATCAAGCGAAAATATGCAAACTTAGTGCATTGGATGCATGCACCAAGCCAATTGATGTATACCATAGTATATTTTTTCTACCTTTTATACTTAAATCACGGTTAAATAAAATTAATTTTTTTTTAAGAAACTTCGAATGAACATGTTGCAGTATATGCNTTCTGGATCTATTTTTGGTCATCTCAAGTATTTTAATGGGGAATCTTAGTAGCTTAGTCTCAATGGCGAAACTAAAATTTTCTCCTAGAGTGTTCAAGTTTAAAAGAAGTGAATTTTTTTTCTGATAAAGGCTGTTCAATATGTGTTATATACCTCTAATACGTAATATTGTATCTATATATATAGTGTAATTTTTCGACGTTTTAACCATGTGGCTTCCCCCATGCTTAGTCTCGGTTGGTTGGCTACCTGAACTTTTAAATGTTAGGTAAACTAAGGTGAGAGTTCGATTCCCCACTATGTAATCCCCTCCCCCATTTCCCTTCCTCTACCTCCAATATATAATTAAAAAAAAGAAGGTATTTTAACAGAAAATGATGAGCTTGGTTATGGATATGCACTTATGCAGAGGCAGTCTCTTTGACTTGGTTAAAATCGTATCTGTAAACAGATCCATATTGCTGTAATATGATCGTATATTATATTTTAAAAAATCTTTTATTGAAATGTCATCATTGTGCAGTCCATGTTCCTCCAAGGAAATTGTCAAAATCCGTTTGGACAGCATTTGTTTGCTTGTTTTAAAAGCAAGCTTGTCTTGTTGTGACAAAATTGATTTTATATATGTGAATCGTATATATTTTTTTTTTATCTCAACATAGCATTTGTTTGTTTTAAAAGCAAACATGTCTTGTGAAAAATTAATGTTATATTTGTGAATCGTTTTTTTTTAATCTGAACATATAGGTAGAAGATGTAGGGCACAAAACAACTTTGTCTCTCTTCTGTTATCAGCAATTGGCAAGTTCTACCTTTAATGCTACCTTGATCAATCAGAGTTCGGTGGCAAGCTGTCATGGCCCATTTTCTGAACAAGCCGGAATCGGCACCCAATCACTAAACATGACCGAGCAAACCATCTGCGCTTATCAAATCTATTATAATTTCAAACTTTATATGCCACAAGGCACTACTGTAACCAAATACTTTTAAATAAATTAAATATCTAAAATAAGCCAACTTCAAAACTTTATTAGTAGTAACCAATAAAATACCTTTAAGTTATTATCGAAAACATCTGAATCTTAACCCATCGTCTGTGTCTATGAAGCCTCTACTGATAAACTGACGCACTGCTCAGGACAGGAGATTTCCTGGTCAGTTCTATAAGTAAACAAAGAAATAACTAAATAAAGATGACTCTAAGGAATACTCCACGAACAAAAGCGGAGCTCACCAATAGCACTGGAAGGGAGGGAAGTCCTAAACTGTAGCCTGCTCGCCTGCAAAACCGGTTCCTACGTTGTACCGCAGACCAACGTAGGTTACCATCCATTATACTCAGTGAGTCTCAACAACAAGGGACGAAACTTTAATAACATAAATATTACGAGCAAAAATTCTAAATGCATTTAAGGCATAAAGCTTATAAGAACAACTCTAAAATAATTGCATAATAGCAGTTTAGGAATATTCTAAAAGAAATTTTTTTCTTTTTCTTTCTTATAAAAAAATACTTTACTTTATACTTTAGGAGTTCCAACTATCCTGACTTAATTCTGTCTCAGTCACCGTGTGATCGGTACGGGTTCGATCCCAACCTGATCGAATAGGCCTAATCCACAAGGTGTCACTCGCTTCATGGTTCTCAGCGCTCATGTATCATACCTTAGCATGGCTAAGTAAATTCTCAGCAACGAGACCCTCGGCTCGTGTGCTCCCTACTTTGGCACAAGTAGTTTCAGGAAGTCAATGCCTTGGTCAGGACCCTCGGCCTGGACGATGACCCCTTCTCAGAATTAAGGATACTCCCAAAAATCTTTTCTTTCTAAAACTTCTTCTTGTGACTTTTCAAGTCTAAATCTTTTCTTTATAGAACATCATGTACATGCTCATGCTGGTATCCTTAAATGTAAAGCATGACATAAGAATGGAATAAACATGTAAAAGTACTTCTAAGGATTCTTGCTCCTTCATAAATTTTCAACGCGAAAATAGCATATAAGAATAACCCAAAAATCTGAAAATTTATGCACATATATCATAATAAATCATCTAAACTTTTGCTAGAACAATTCTAAGTTAATAGGTACTCACTCACTCCAATTAAGTAAATATAAACTCTTTTAAGCAATTCATCAAACACCTTGTATGCGAGCTTTTGTGAGTTAAACTACTTTAGTAAAGGGTTATATCAACTCACCGCAATACTCCTTGAGCCAATACGTAGACCCCAAACCAATTTATACCCGTCAAACAATTGATTCTACAACAACCAGTGCATTTTTATTAATTTCAAAGTTTCACACCTAAACATGGGATTTACTGTTGATACAGAGAAAGAAGGGAATTACTATTCAATTCTTACCTATTACTATTATAGGGTAATTGAGAATAAGAAATTTTATATACCTGAACTCAAGAATTAGTAATTTGTAAAGAACCCTGAACTTTCCTTGTAATTTCGTGGCTGCCTCTATTTCGTATAAGGTTTTACGCCCTTTTTGCTCCGCGTTAGTAAGTGTTTTGTTTTGAAATTGTTTAATCCCTTTTTCACAGCCTTTTATGGCTGAGACTCTCACGCCTATACCTGCCAAGAGCCCTTTATGGGCTTAAGGCTCACGTGGCTTTTTTTTTTCTTTTGCTTTCTTTCTTCTTTTTTTTTGTTTTTTTTTTGTTTTGACTTAACTAGTATTTAATTATTCCTATTTTTAATAATTAATAATATTAAAACTATTAATATTTTCCTAATTGTATATCCAATTATATATATATATATATAATTGGCTATAAGGTAACAATAATAGTAATAATAATAATTTAGTTCTATAATTAGCGTGTCTCGAAACTTTTATAAATTTGAGGAGTGTTACACAAGCCAAAATTTTCACCAAGCAAATTTAAAACAAAAATTAATTAGATTGAATAGACATAAAAACCAAATTTGACCTTATAAATACAGTGTAGTTTTCTAGTAAAGGAGATTCTCAATCCTATATTTTCATTAGCAAAAATCATAAGCACCTAATCAGGGTAAATACCTGAATTACACTGTCTCAAATTGAGAGGTCGGATAGAATACCTAATGACTAGTGAACCAGATCTTATTTCATTTTTATGCGATAATCACAACTACTAGTCATTTGTTCTTCATTGACGTAGACACCCTTGTAGACAGGGGCGGAGCCAGTCTTATAGCTACGGGTCCAGCAGAACCCAATAGTTTTGGCTCAAACACTATATCTATCTTTGTTACAAAATCCATTGAATGTATAAATAATCTATTTAGAACCCAATAAACAAAAAGGATTATAGTTCAGAATCCATAAACTGAAAATCCTAACTCCGCCTCTGCTTGTAAATAAGGCTTTAGTAGTAGAAAATGCCACCGAATTCATCATAATCCTCAAGCTATTGCCAACTCATAGCAATGGGGGATTTGCAAATGCAGCTTTTCTTGTTCGAAAACCAGAAAAAGAATTGAGTCCTCAACATGTATGCTCTAAACAAAATTCCATCATATGATGAATGCTAAAGAAACCAAAATATCGAACTCTGGTCATAGAGCAGGATAGCAAGTTTTGCCATTTAGAGAAACAGCGATATGTAGCAGTGGATAAAAAGAGGCACATCTTGACACTGTTTATCGATAATTTACAGAAAGCATAGACCACTTAGAGAACCTGATAAAGTTGATAGTGTGATCCACAAGGAAATCACCAAAAGAAAACTCTTCGTCACAAACGGAATTCAGTAAGTTTAATCCTGCACTACGGGCTAATCCCATAACCACTGGATTATTGCATCATGGGAATCGCTCCTCCAGCTGCTACAATCTGTTGTTCCAACTGTTGCAAAAGAAGAAGGCAAGTTTCAGAGGTATCTATGAAATTTAGAAGATTAAATTCAAAATTTCCACATCGCAATCAAGAAGAGAGCTTTCTATTTCCTAATGGAAAGAGCTCCTTACCTCAAATAAAGTTTGAAGCTTATTCTTCACAAGCAAGTACTCCTGTTTTATTTGTTGCAAGCATCTCAAGCACCTAAAATATCCCATCAATCCGAAGATAAGAAGCAAATAATGTAAATAACTTGCATCCAAACAACACAAGATTCATGATTTCAGGCACACTACGAACCGATGTTACATGAACTCGCGCGGGGGGTTTGAGTATCACTTGGCAGTTACTACCCAACATGTATACTCAATTTCTAGTGCATAACGATCTACAGTCCAAGGTTCACAAGACAAAGAAAGAGTCTTTGTAACTAGTAGCTTAGTCAAAAGTAATCAGTAAAATACCATTTTAAGAATAGCCTATACGGGTGTTCTTATTGAATTGGCTCACGTTACCAGAATTATCTAATCAATAGCACCTTATAAAAAAAATAGCAAATCAACAACATTAAGGTTATCTAAGCCCCTAAAAAGTTTCAACATTACTCTAAACAAGATATAACCAACTAACCAGCTATGCTACATGATCTTAAACTTTCAACTTCTCAAAAATGTTTGATGTTTGTAAGCTGTACATCTGGAAAGAACCAGAAAGCAACAAAACTTACGCTTCAGTGTTCTTTTCTTCGCAGACGCTACGGAAAGGGACGCAGCAATTCTTCACTCTCTGAGCACCAACACTGTTCACTCGGTCAAAAACACAAAAATTTTCTCATCAGAAGAGTAAATATCCAAAAGACTCTGTCAGCAGAATCAACTTTTTCTCATGAAAATTTACAAAAATTGAAGATAGGTTTAATGTACCTGGAGCTGCTACCTTTGAGCTGATGAACATGAGCATCAACCTGCTTAAAGTCCACATTGGGCTGATCTCTGGGAAAATATACAACAAATTCATACTAAAGAAAATGACAACAACAACCCAGTAAAGTAGAGAGGCTGTTTGCGAAAGACCCTCGGCTAAAGAAAATGAAAAGAGAGGATATGTTTCATTAGATGATCGATAAGGCAAAAAAGAAAGGGTCAGTACTCACAAAGCCATAGTGAGATCATTGAGAAGTCTTTCAGAATCTTCAAAGAAAAGAGACACAACTTCAACTACAAAATCAGGGTTACTTTCATCTTGCAATTGCTGAAGCTGACTAAATTGAGCATCCAAGAATCCCTTTTGAACCAAAACAACATTCCCACCAAAAAAAATCAGCAAAATCAACTCAAAAGCAGAAGGTCAAGAATAACAAGAAAGAAAAAAAAACAAAGCAGAAGCTGACTCCAAGAACCCCTTTTGTATCAAAACAACATAACAATCAAAGAGAAAAAGACCAAAAACTTTCAGCAAAATTCAACAACTCAAAAAACTTAAGGTAAAGAATAATAAGAAAACAAAACAAGAAGCTGACTCCAACAATTAACAACAATTCAATCAAAGATTTAAAAACACCCAAAAAGCAGAAGGTTATGAATAACAAGAAAACAAAACCAAAGGTGCAAAATCCACATAAAGATTTCTCCTTTTTTAGGTTTACCTCATTAAACAAAGAGGACATGTATTCAATAAAGCTCCTCTGCAATTGACCAACTTCCATTTCTTTGATTCTTGATTATGTCCTCAACTCCTTAAACTGCAACAAAATAAGGCCAAAATGAAAATTTTGCTATAGGTTGGAGTTACAACTATGCAGATCATCTTGAATAAATAGGAAATCTGAACCATATAAATGCAGCAACAATAGGAATTTCTGAAATAAAAGATCTAAAGAATAACCTGTTTTGGGAGACGGGGTGTGGTGTAGAATAGCAGTCAAAGGTATAGTACACAAACACAAGACAAATGGATGTTAGTACTGTGATAAATTTGTACAGTGTACCTTTTTAGCTAGCTTTGGTTTTCCTAATTCCTGCTATGGATGATTTTTGTGATTATTCTTGTCGTAGAATTGCAGTCCCTACCATTTAATTTTGTTTGTCCCCAGTCCCCACTATGGTTTTATTCAT